TAGACACTTCAGGCTATCTTTCCATGTGCGTATCTCAAAACCGATTTTTTGACCGAAAATCACCATTTCTGAGGGGGGGAGGCCCTTAATAAATTAATTCTATCACTATGACCATCATACAGAAGTATTGAATGTGAAATAACTGGTATAGATGGTATTTGATACGAATCATAAAATTTTTTATCCCAATATGAACATAATACTGTAACAGCGTTATCCAAATTATTTTGTTCGCTTGTTTTATTTGATATTTTACGGTTTAATACAACACTGGTTAATTGTTTAGATAAGTATGATAGCGTTCTTTCAACTGGATTATATTTACTATCATTAGCTGCATATGAATTAACAATAAGAACACCTAAATTAAGTTCCTCCCGTAATGTATCAAAATTAAAAATATTTCCACCACATTTATGTGGCCAATCTGGACCATTATCGGATGTAAGTATGTAAACTGATTTTCCAGATAAACGATTTTGTTCTAATATATTTTCGAGATGATTAATGTGCATTTGACTACTTGATTTATAATATGTATCTGAATGTCGACAAATATGAAGTTTTCCCGATGTTGAATAACGTATATGATGTCTTCGATCAGTGTCAATCTAAAAAACAACAAATGCTTTAATTTTGTGTCCTTCAAAAGGATGACCTTAGTATTATTTTGCATTATTCAATCAACTACATTAGATTCTTTTTCTCTTCTTTTCTGTTCACTATTCTCTAAATACACAGTAAAAGAAACATAATGTCAACTCATGTATATTCAAACGCAGCACTCATGTGATGGGAAAGAAACTACATAGACGATTGCATTTGACATAGGTACACTCTATCTCATCTCAGCAAAATTTTATTGTCATATCATCAAAATGAAAACAAAACTCTCACTGCAAATAATTGTACGACCGTACTTCTTTCTATGCTCAGTACTATGTTTGCTTAAACTTTCTAACATACTTTATAGGTTAACTTACTACAGTAAATTATTTTTAATTTTGGAAATAAAGATCCATCTACTGATCTTGAACGTTTTGTTTTAACAAGAAGATTTTTTGGCAAGCGATTTTCACTGCGACAACGTCTTGATTGATGTTTACCCATGTCCTTCATCCCGCTAATTTCCCGACGGGATCCTGCAATTTCCCATCCGGGATCCTGTGCGGGATCCCACATGGGACCTGCAGGATCCCACTATTTTTTCCGTGATCTTGCTAAATTTCTACGGGAAGTTTCGAGATATTGCCTACGCGTACTGGCCTGTGGAATCGAGGTGCGCGAGCTCCCACGACGGTTTTTTTCCTGTTTTCGGTAACCTATATTACTTTAGGCTAGTCCAGTCTTAGATTCGCCTGGTGTTTTCAGTCCAATGTATTGGACTGATACTTTTTATTACATTTTACTTTGGACTAGTTCATACTGAAATTTCACTCTGGCCTTAAGCGACTCTAGACGAAAGTGAAATTAGACTTTAGACTAGTTCAAAATGAAATTTGACTTTGGCCTAACCGAATATTACATTGGACCGAATTTCACTTTGGACGCTAACATATATATTCTTTTCTGTACTGTACTTGACTTAATTGATTTATACATTTAACCGGTATTATTTGATGGTACGAAATTGTTTTAAGGGGGCGCCCCCCCCCCCCCGCAAATAAAAACCCCACCCGGGAGACGCGGGTTTCGAAACAAAAGAAAAAATATATTGGGAAAAAAATAGG